GCGGAGCCACTTTTGGCCAGCGTCGCAGTTCGACGATCGCGATTCGCTGGAGCTGGGTGATGTTGAGCGGTTGTATTCCCATGTGTTTGAGGATGATGACAATACAGATGTTCCAGTGCGGTTTACCTCTCCTCCACCTGCTGTTCCGGCACCCGTCGAACACGCTGCTGAAGTTGAGTCCCAGGGAAAGCCATGTTGGACCTGTTTACGTTGCTCCTCCACTCACTCGACGTGGTCCGTTGTGCATGGGCGGTGGTCATGTTTGGATTGTGGGTCTTCGGAGTTTTATGATGCTGCGGAGGCCTTTCAACAGTCTACAGAGCATGGTCTTTGGGTTTACATGCCCCATGGTGGTCCACCAGCCCCACACGTTGAGCCCCGAGTTCCTGTTCGCCCTGCCGGTCGACGAGCACCAGTGAGAACCCATGTTGGATATGACCCTCATGAGGTCCCTGTTGAAGCTTCAGAGCAACCGGAAAGTGAGGCACCCACCAATGACCCTTCGGTGGATCCTGACACCTTACAGGTTTTGCCTAGAAGGCGACGACGCCGTCGTCGAGGAGCATCAGTTGAGCAAGCCGCCAACGCTGAGGATGGAGTTGCAGCTTCGCCCACTGGCAGGCGACCTCCGACAGTTCCTTCGATGGCACAGCATGAGCCCAATCCAGTTGAGCCTAGGAACGAGATTCTTGAGGCCCTTCGACAGCTGTTGGATGAACGCAAGCAGAAACGTTCACCTGGCAGTGACACCGCTTCTTGGAACAGCCGTCAAGGCCCAGAGAAGCATGTGAAGTGGCGTGGCGGCGCTGCACCAGTTCCGCCACAGTGGAAGCCCCAGCAGAACGATCTTCGTGCATTCGCTCGTTGGGAACGCCGCATCGAGATTTGGCGTTTGCAGGTCTGTGCATACATGCCACCACAGGATGCTGCATTGATGTTGTTGACATCCCTCACGGGGGAAGCAGAGTTGGAGGTCGAACACCTCGACCTGAAGCGTGTTCATGATCGCAATGGTGTGCAGTACATTTTGGACACCCTCCGGGAGCCGTTGCAACAAAAGCAGTTGTTTCAGAAACGTACATTGTTGGATTCATTTGAGAAGCTGTCCAGGTTTCCCAATGAGAGCCTCCGGCAGTACATCAACAGGTATCGCCGAGTGGAGAAAGACCTTGAGGCGATCGGCATCTCGAGCTCCAACATGTACGACAGCGAAAGCAAGGGCAACAGGCTCTTAGAGCGTGCCCGATTGGCGCCAGAGCTCCAACGGTTGGTCATGATTGCAGCTGGCAATAGCCTGGAGTACGAGCGGATTCAAGAGGCACTCGCCCTACAGTTTCCGGACTTCAAACCGCCACCAGCTGTTTTCCAAAAGGAGCGTGATCATGTGACACGAACACCGTCGCATGGCAAAGGTTCGTACAGTTCGAATGCTTCGACATCCGCCTCTTCATCATGGTCCTCATCCAGTTCAAGGCCTTCATCCAAAGGTTTTGGCAAGTCGCAATATCCCAAACGGGCATTTGTTGCAGAACAGGTTGACGACCTTGGTGACATTCCGGAACAACCGGAAGATGAGCAGCTGGACATTGAAGCAGATGATAATGGTTTTTATGAAGTTGAAGAAGAGTTCACAGAGGCTGTCGATAACGACATTGCAGAGGAAGCACCGGAATCCGAGATACAGGATACAGTTGCACAGCTGGCAGATGTTCTGACGGTGACCTCGAAGAAGTTGCAGAGCACCGTTTTGGGCAGAAAGTTCACTGGCCGACCTCGAACAATCGAAGAGAGAAAACGAACTTCGACATGCAGTGCTTGTGGCAAGTTAGGCCACTGGCGTGGAGACCCTAGCTGCCCGCAGAGCGGATCGGCTTCACAAGGCCATGACTCCAAAGGCCGTGGAAAGCACTCGGCTGATGGCAAAGGAAAAGGTCAGCGCAGCAATTCCAATAGCAGTACACAGTATGCAAAGCAGGCATTTATGGTGCGTTTCCCGGACATCGATGACCAAGAGAAGACCTCTGAGAACACCTCCTTCTTTAGCTATACCACCTTCCTTTTGGACGACCACGTATGTTCTACCTACATGACTGAGCTGATCGATTTTTCGGGGACAATGATTTTGGACACAGCCTGCCAGAGAGCCTGTTGTGGACGTGTTTGGTTGGACCTCCACACCAAGATCCTCGATACCCATCGACTATCGGTCAAGCACATTGAAACTGCCGACATGTTCCAGTTCGGCTCAGGTGGACCAAAGCGCAGCACACAGAGGACCTACTTCCCGGCATCCCTTGCAGGCCAGGAAGCTCAGGGACTTTTGTTGGGAGTGAACGTGTTGGATGCAGATGTCCCTTTCCTTGCAAGCAACACCATGCTTCAGAAGTTGGGTTGCATCATTGACACGTCACAGAGTTTAGTTTCATTTGCTGTGCTTGGTGTGACTTTGCCGCTTGAGTTTAAACATGGGCATTGGGCAGTGAACATTTGTTGTTTTCCACCTCGTGTTCATCAGCATGCATGTTGGAAAGAGTTGAGCAAGGATTCATTTTGGCTTGCACCGGATCCGGAAGTCATTTTGTCGGAAGCCTTTTTGGAGCGAGATCGGACTCGCGCTCAATTCGATCCTCCTGTCGTGCCGTTGACACCTCATGCTCACCACCGGCCTTCCACCGGAATGGCTTCAGAAGTGGAGAACCATCATCTTGAAGGTGATGATGATCGAGTTCAGAGCCTTGGCAGCGATGTCCCGGCTTGTGAGGTTTGGTTTGAGACCACGCCAATGGATGACGGCGTGGGAACTGGAAGAGACCAAGAAGGATCAGTTGAAGGACGTGGCACAGTCCTCGAAGACGACTCCAGCACATCCCATGTCGACTTGCACACACCCGGAGTTCAGAAGGTATGGCAATCGGAGCGGAAGCTACGCTCAGTGCAAGCGATGCCTGGCAAAGTTCCAATGGAACCCAGACGATCAAGGATGGCTTCAGCTGGGTGGTCAGTCCTCTTCGCGATCTACACCCTTGCCGCTTCCTTCTTCGGACAACATTCTCTGTCCGGTGACCGGCTTGGACGCGATTCAGTACAAGCAGACAGCTTTGGCGAAAGCTGGACCCAAGCCCAAGGCCAAGAGATCTCCGACCTCATCGAGCACCTCACGACCGACCAAGGGCCATGGCAAGAGCAAGGGCAAAGTGCCCATCATCCACCTTCCAGAGCAGGACGACCAATCGGCATGGACTCCCGAGGAGTGGGAGACCCATTGGGAAGAGATTCGAACAACCTACCAGCCGCACGACATCATGATGCCAGATTCGGACCATCCGGATCAGTTCCCAGACGACCTCGAAGAGTGGACTCCGAGGTATGCTCCTCACCTTTTCAACTGAGTGGAGACCATTGGGAGGTCAAGCAGGGCATGTGCATCCGGCACCACTTGGTTCCAAGATGCAGCTACTTCGACCTACAACACTGCGAATGCCCTGTACCCCTTCGTCGGTTGAACCCACAATGCACGGCAGAGATGGAGTTTCTAGACGGCTCCTATGGCACCTTCACCTATGAATGGCAGTGCTCGCAAGCTCCTGTGCGATCTCAGTGGACAGGTCGCACCATTTTCTTTATCCACAACCAGTTCAACCAAGACAAGAACAGCCTGGCACCTTTGAAGAGCAGGCGCAAGCTTCTTGATGGAGTCCGCAGAGCACTGCGAGTCTATGAGATTGAGTACACCGCCATGAATGAGTTGGCAGAGAAGCGGCCCGTGTCTCAGGTTGACATCTTCGAAATCCTGAACACCAACTATGAACTGCTCGAGACCTTCGCAGGGCAGGCAAACATCACACGCAGGGCCAAGAGCTTTGGTTTGAAAGCCATTGAGCCGGTGGATTACAACACTGGCTTTGATTTGAGTCAGGTCACTGACCAAGAGCGTGTGAGTTCCATGATCGACCGCTTCAAGCCCCTCATCCTCATTCAAGGGGTGGACTGTAGAGATTGGACCCTCCTCCAGGACAATGTGAACTACCTACATCGACAAATTCAATTGCAGAGACGGCGAAGAAAGGCCAGGAAGATCCTCAGGCAAGTTGCTGATTGGTGCATTCAGCAATCCAAGCACGGCCGTTACTGGCTCATTGAGAATCCATTGACCAGCCGTCTGTGGCAAGAACCTTCTGTACAACAACTTCGTGACCTACCTGGCACCGAAGAGGCAATCTGCCATGCAGGCGCTTATGGCGCCACCAACTCCAGAGGAGAACCGATTCGCAAAGCACACCGCTTCCTTGGAAACTGCCCACCAGTTCTTCGTCGACTTCAACGACGGTTGACCGCTGAGGAGCAGAAACAATGTGTTCCCCTGGAAGGTCGTGATACGACCCTGAGTGCAGTGTATCCTCCTGATATGGTCAAGGCCATACTGCTTGGAGTCCGTGAGTTGGCCCAACAAGATTGGCCCAACAAGATGATCGGCATCGTTTCCAGCAACTTGGCCATAGACAGGTTCCTTTTCAAGTCAGAGTGGTCCACTTCACGAATGCAGTTGCGAGTTGGCTGCCAGCTTTCGAGATGGCTGACGACACCTTCCACAAGGTCAGCAACCGGAACTTCCTGGTTCCTCACTCACATCCACTTTGGAACAAAGTGAGCGAGTTGGTCGGTTGGCCACGAATGGAACGCATTCAGCTGACGGTGCAACCTGTCATCCATCGACTACCAGTCCATGTGCCGCACACTCATCGCGGCTGGGCATTGCGATTTTCAGATGGCACCTATGACATCAGCTATGAAGACTTGAGTGATGTCCACCATCCTCGTGGCCGCTTTCCAAAGCCAGTCCAAGTGGGAATCTTTTTCTATGGATATGGTGATCCTGAAGAAGACGACATCGAAGCACCAGCATCCATGGGTGATGCTGAACCAGCACCGCCTGACCAGCGACCTCATGAAGTCCAACCGCAACCTTATGAAGTACAACCGTTGACAGAAGATGACCCAAGAAGACAAATCCAGCTATCACCACCGCACGGCATACACTTCAAGCCCGGCACCAAGATCTCACAAGAGATGAAGCACATGCTTTCAAGAGTGCACCGCAACATGGGACACCCCAGTGCCGGCGAGTTGAAGAACATGCTGTCTATGTCGGGCGCTCGTGACCCGGCTTTGTTTGCCGCCATCGATGGCGTGACCTGCGACACTTGCGAGAGGACTCGCATGCCACCTCGACCTCCTCTAGCACATCCACCTCGCGATGGCTTTCAGCAGTTTGGAGATTCATTGCAGATCGACATTGTCTACTGTCGTGACACCGGCGGAGCAAACTACCCCATCCTTGGGGTGATCTGTGAAACCACACACCTTCACACTGCCACAGTCTTGGAGAGCCGAGCACCAGAAGAGACCTTCCGCAAGTTCATGCTTTGTTGGGGCAGACCTTATGGACTACCTCTCACAATCCGCACCGACCCAGATGGGGCCTTCAGAGGCCGAGACACAGGACAGTTCGAGGCAGAGCTCTCAGCCTTGGGCGTCTACATCGACTATTGTCCACCAGAGGCTCATCACCGCCTCGGACTCATCGAACGACACAACAGCACCATGCGCTACATCATGGAGAAGTTGGTGAACCAGAACGGAGTCACTGGCCCTGATGGCATGGAGAGAACTTGCGGTGCCGCAACCTATGCCAAGAACTCTTGCACTTGGAGTTCAGGACGGCCGCCTTTCGTTGCCGCCCTTGGGCGCATGCCCAGAGTTGGACTGGACTTGCTGTCCAACCCCCGTGGTTTGATCATGGGCAGCACTCAATCAGAAGTCCAACGACACTCGGACTATCTCCGCATTGAAGCACAACAACACCTTGCTGCCATGACAGTTGATGCTTCTTTGAGACGAGCTCTTCTGAGGAGAACACCACCTCAGGCAGAGTTGGAAGCACCGGTTGGCTCCATTGTGGCATACTGGCGATGGATCGCTCGTTCTGGGCGGAAGCGTGGCGGGTACAGACTCGCTCGACTTTTGGGACGAGATCCCGACCAGAAGTCCTTCTGGATCCAATCCGGAACAAACACCATCAAGGTGGCTCAACACCAGATCCGAGCAGCTCATGGCTATGAGCAGTGGATCCCAGATGCCGCCGACATACAAGCACTTCGACAAGCATCAGCAAACCTTCAGCAAGGCATCCTACAGGATGAAGAGATTGCACAAGCACCACCAGATACCGAACAGCAGATCACGGAAGATCCCTACATGAACATCGAAGCCGAGCCAGACACACCAATGCTCCTGCCCACGCTTACACAGCAGCATCCGGCAGCAGCAGACACAGAAGCACGACGACATGAGCAGGTTCAGACCGAACCTCAGGCATTACACATACCAGTACAAGAACCGGCAGTGGAGCAACACCTCCACATGAACATCAGCTCACCGAGCTACAAGCAGACGAACATATACCAACAGCAGACCTTTGGCTTTGGACCAGAAGAGGCATCCAGAGCACCAGTGCGCACACCCGTGCGACAACCGTACAGAGCACGTTCCAAGACACCAGTTCGGCGACTTGGAGGCACAACGAGTCCGCAGCAGCAGTTGGAAGCGCCTGCAGAAGCACAAGCACCAGCAGCCGCAGCAGGACATGGCACTTCACCAACAGGTGACACTTCACAAGTCATCGACCTGACACCCGATGACGAAACAGCAGAGGCAAAAGCACTTGCACGGATGATTCCCAGAACACCTGAGGAGTTGTCTGGACAAACGACACCGACACTTGCGGAACTTGAGCATCGGCACACACCGGCAAAGCGAAGCATAGCAGAAACATCACCAGAGGCACTCTTGGAGAGCAGCTCCAAGGGACAAGCAACAGGCAGTGCACCACACACAGTGGCATTGACACACAACCACCTGATTTACAACACAGCAGATGGCATCCACACGCAAGAGGATGGCTTCGACGGCACGGAGACCATCAAGATGCCACACAATGCACACACCTGCCTGAATGCTTACCGGCGCTCACCTGACTACGCCGGCAACGGCGACAGTGAAGAGTCAGAAGACGGTGGTCCTGACCTTCGTGGCCTCAAGCCATCCGGCAGCCCACCGCTGTCAAGGATTGAGCAGAAAGCCCTGGACAAGGAACTTCCTTGGCAATTCATCATGCAGCAATCCGAAGAGTACATCCAGGCCTTCGTGAAGTCAGCTCAAGATGAAGAAGCTTCCTGGAACCAGTGGGAAAGCGTGAGGCCATTGTCAGAGAAGGAGGCTGAGCATGTGTACTCCACGCCACACCTTCGAAAAAGGATTCTCAAAAGCCGCTCAGCTTTTCGAGACAAGAACAAGCACATACCGCCCTTGAAGGCGAAGACTCGTGTCGTGGCCATCGGATGCCTCGACCCGGACATCTTCAGTTTGAATCGTGAATGTGCTACCCCCACTCGTCAAGCCGAGTTTGTTTTGCTGGCCTTTTTCATTTGTGGCAAGAACAAGATGCTCTTGACACAAGAGAGCACGTGGACGTTGTGGAGTGGTGATGTGAAGACGGCATTTCTCCAGGGACAACAAGAAGGCCGTGCAGCGCCGCTGTACCTGGCACCTCCTCGTGATCCAATCACGGTTCGAGCGCGAACATTTGCTGCCCCTTTGTATGAAGTCCGTGGCAACATCTACGGATTGGCAAATGCTCCAAGGGTTTGGTCATTGGAAGTCACCAAGCGACTTTTGAAGGCTGGATACGTACGCCACACACTGGACCATCAGCTCTTTTACTACTTCCAGAAGCCTCCAGGTGGTTCAGAGGAAGTGTTGATGAGCGTCCTTATGGTGTACGTGGACGACTTCCTCCTCGCCCATGATGACAGGTATGACCGTGAGCATGTTTTGAGTCTTTTTACCTGGGGCTCCAAGACTGAGCTCACAACAGAAGAGAGCATTTGTTTCAAGGGCAAGCAAATTCACTTGAAGTTCGATCGCCAGAAGAATGTGTACTTTTTGAGTCTGGTGCAGACAGCTTTCATCGAGAGCATGCGTGGCCCTCAGACGAAGATCCCGAAGAGCAAGTTCGACCAGGAACTGGCCACTGAGGACCTCTCTGAGATGCGCTCAGTCGCTGGAAGTTTGCAGTGGGTCTCAGGCCAAACAAGGCCGGACGTTGCCGCCACTGTTTCTTTGAGCTCCCGTGGTCAGAAGACCAAGTACAGTGACTTGGCGGCCATGTTTGAAGCTGTCGCTCACCTCCAGAGTACAAAGCATTTAGGCTTGAACTTGTTCCCAGTGGTTTTGAATGAGACCACCCACTTGCTGACCCTTTCGGATTCGAGCTGGGCAAACGCCGAATCCTTTGCTTCGCAGCACGGCTGCCTGACTTTGTTGGCAGAGCCATCGATCGTCGAGAGAACCGGGACTGCACTCCTCCTCGACTTTAAGTCGTCCCGGAGTCCTCGCATCTGCCGTAGCACTTTGGCAGCCGAGGCATCGGCAGCTGACATGTCTGTTGATAGGACCTCATTTTTGAACCACATGATTTGCGAGATGTTTCAACGGACGCCTTCGTATAGACTCTCCCACCTGCTTCGAAGCTTGCACATCACGGATTGTCGTTCCCTTTACGACTGCATTTGCTCAGAGAACCCGAACACTGAAGAAAAGAGAACGATAATCTCGATCCGCAGCACTCAGCAGGAGGTGACCCGAGAAGGTTGTCACTGGGTTCCGACCCAATTGATGTTCGCCGATGGACTCACGAAGATTTCAAAGCAGCTCATGGAATCCCTGATCAATTGGCTCCAGATGCCATGGATTCAGCTGCGTGAGTCGAAGACAAGCCAGCCAATAGAGAAACACGAGTGTGAAATTTCATCCTTTGCTTGAGCACATGGCTGTCTTGTCAGGTCCGTTCGGCACGTTCCGCAGTTCGAACTCGAGCTAGTCCCCTTTTGCTGAAAAGGCCGCTTCCTTTTCATGCCTGACACCTGGTTCATTTCGCACGTACCATGGTGAGACCTGTGTCATTTGTTTGTGGCTGATGGTCGGGCTTCGATCACTTCGCCAAATCACACCGCAGCCAAGGACTGACTTCGCCAGAGGCCACCGAATGGACCAGGCGGATGATTCACTAGAGATGTCTTGGCTGTTTGTGTAGATGGATTTTCTTGGGATGTGATGGCCCATCGAAAATAATGCTGCACCAAGGGTCACCTGACTAACCGACCATCTTTGTGAGGTCGAAAGGCTCAAGGCTGCAGTTCGTGATGGGTCCCTTTAAAATCCTCAAATCAATCCAAAGTGCAGTACCTTAATAAGTGACCCCAGAACGCTCCGCGAATGCGTTACTCCCCGCATTGCTGGCTGCCAGGCAGCTCCAGAAGATCGTCGAAACCCAGACACTTGGAGAAGAATGTGTCAAAGCAGACCATGGGGGCGGATCTGGGCCTCCCCTCAATGGCCCGAGCCAGTGAGAGACAAGCTAAGCAGAAGAGATCCCTGATAGGTCATCGAAGGTTCTCAGAAGCTTAACAGGTTTGGCACAAACATGTGGAGGTCGTGAGCAGGGACAAGCATGGAGAACTCTCGTCCAGCGAGGGTGACCAGCACTTCTTGTTGACAAGGCCAGCGAGGGTTCCAGCGGTACGACGTTTTTGGATGACTTGGCCTTGTCATTGTGACCAGGCCTTGTCACCCTCCTGGATTAACAGGGTTTGTGTTTGTCGCCCATCCCCCACAAAATTGGAGTTTCTAAACCAAAATTTGAAGTGGCTGAAGCTGTCTTGCAGATTGAGACTAACCGGAGTTTGTTCAGTAAACGAACTCATTGAGGGTTTTGAAGCAAAAGGCTGACTCAAAAAATGACAGAACACTAAGTTGTGGTGTGGGTCGACATTGAAGGTCTTGATTTGTGTCGATTGACAGTCCTTCGACTCATCAGGGATGTCGTCGAACATTGAATCCGTGCGAGCCAGGGTTGCATACCTCTGGACCAGTGGTACTTGTACAAGTGCTCCAACCCAGCCAACCTCGTTTTGCTCCGATGGGTTGGTCATTGCCCACGAAACCCGTCCACCCAGCCCAGCGAGGAACGCCAAGATCGACCCACCCATCCATGTCTACATGGTCTCCCAGAACCTGCAGATGCTGGATGTGGAAGAAGGCCGCCGCTGGGGCCTGGCGGGGCCTGGCTGGACCTGGTAGGTGAGAAATATGCAGCGCGTGGTCTATAGTTCTAAGTGATTGTCCGTCGCTATAAAGATGTCCTAAAGGCCAGGCCGGTCTGCTTTTTGTTTTGAATGTATTTGATTTGACTCATCTGGGTGGCGTGTTTGTCTATGTGTTCTGTCCTCCCACCGGGCCATATAACGCCCCAGATGGGTGGTGAGGTGTCTTGAGCTCGGTGCCGAACTTGATCCTCTTCAGCTTGGTGGGCTGCCTGGTGATGATCGGCCTGATCTTCCGATCTGCTCCTCGACAGACATGTTGCAGAAGAGAGGGGGGTGTTTGTCTAGGGCGGAGTGGGTGGCCTTGGTTGGGTTGGTGATAGTGGCAGGTCTGGAGGGCTATATAGAGCAAAGATCACCAAGTTGAGCGAGAACAAGCACATGATCCACCTGCGCACATGTGCCTCGCCAGGTTGTAGAGCTCTACTGGCAAATGACTTCTCTACGTGAAAAATGTGTGAACGCTGTGAGCACCATGTATGAGATATCATCACCTTGGACAAGTGTCCACAGTTTTTTGAATAACCTTCTCCTTCCAGCTCAGTTGGATTGGTTGGATCCTCAGCATGACACAAGGTTGAACGGAAGGTTCAGCTTTGGTCCGTGACCACTTGTACAACCGCTTTTGGGGAGAAGCTTTGGGAGTTACCTCTGTCACCTCCCTTCCAATTATGTCCCTGATCACAAAACTTGGTGGGCGATGCCTGAGCCCTCCTAGGTGATGATTGCAGTGAGAGGTTTGGTCACTGAGCTGCAACGGCAGAAGCTTGCTTTTGGGGCGCTGTTGCCCAAAAAATGACCGAGAAACTGGCAGAGGTGGGACGGTCGGAGTCCGGACGGTGTGAGAGGTTTTTCGAGGTGAGTGAACAGAGCCCCGGCCCAGTCGCTTGGTTCGAACATGTTGAAACTGGAGAATGATCCCGCATACAGGTGACCAGGTGTCGGTGTGGAATTGTTCGAGGGCTTCCCCGGCCTCCCAAGGCTTTCGAGGCTGCATTGATGCAACCAGAAAATGCAAAAAGGAAAAGAGGCATTGGAAGGAATCACCTCACAAAACACCATTCTAGCTGGAGGTGGGGCAGGTGTATTGACAGAGCTTTTTTAGGTTCACGCTTCAGTTGCTTCAGGCAAACCTATCCAATGTGGGTGCCACAAGGATTCTCGTCAAAGTGTTTGCCTCACCCCGCCTACCTGCACCGATGGGACCATGTCTTGGGTTGGCACCTGGGCTGAGGTGACCATCGTCTTCACCCTTGCAACTTGGCCGAGGTGAAGCACTCCACGTGCTCTCACGCAGGTGAAGCATTAGCGGGTTGCTGGCTAGACCTTTAAAAAGAATGAAGCATTTGGGTTTGCCGCTTGAATCTGAAACATGGCAGGGGGAGAGCGTATGAATAGCCGCACTGAGCAGCACCCCCCTCAGCCACTGTGTCCTGAGGCCGTGGTCTACATGGCCGGGAGGCTTAGGAATGGAAGCTGAAACATGTTGAAGAGTTCGTCCAACCGTGCACCACCGTTGATGGAAAAGATCCAACACCAAGAAATCATTTGTCCAGCAGGCCCAACATATTGCATCATATTGCCAAGACCCCCTCAGACACCGCACCTTGATTCCAACGAGCTGCGCCTTGTTGGCCACGGCCAACCTGCCAAATCCATCCAAATCCTGCCAACCAGTTCAGTCATCCGGACCGACCCGTTGGACCGGACCCTTCAAGGCGGCGCATGGGGTCTTTCAGCTGGGCTGGTTGCGGACCTTGGGTCTTCCCCTCGGCGGCACCGAAGGCGCGCTGGGTGGAGAGGTGGAGAGGTGTGAAGTGATGCGAAGTGGAACGGTGGACAAGGTGGGAGGGACCAATGGAAAGCAGCAGCTGAAGTATTCAAATTGGAAAGGAGGTGCAAGCACAAGATGGAGTTTGCACAGGAACTTCCTTCAGGTTGTTGTTGGGAGGTGCCTTGTTTTACAAAAGTCGTGCCCTGCTTTGGAGATTGAGGTGATTCGCACCTTTTGGGTGGCTCTCCTTTCAGTTTTGATCCTTTTTTGAGAATATCTGAAAGGCCTCCCGTCCTCATGAGTCCTCATGGCAACGGACATAATATGAAATAATTGTGGTGTCCTGGCTGTCCCGGCCAGGCCTCTTCTTTATGGCCAGGCACTCAGGTTTTGAGAGGAGGAAGGTTTCAAGGGAGATGTGCTCCCGGTGGAAAAGAGGAGATGGTCGATTCCTAAGTTCGGGGGTCAACCAATGACTTGGGGGGCCACTGTTGGGGTAGCCTGGCTGCTAGGGGGCCTTCACAAAACCACAGTGTTTTTTTGTTTTGACCTTGTCGAATCTATCCAAACCACTGGACTTGTGCAACATGGTCGCCGTAGTAGAATCAACTGTAGCCTTAGGCTCCCTGTTCCAACCATCTCCGACCAAGAAGCTGGGGTGGTTGCAAATGCAGACTATCTAGAAGGTTGAAATGGATAAGGCCAGTGCTGTCTTGCTCACCCTACCGGATGCAAAGCGCACTGAAGTATTCTGTTTTTGTTGCAGGGATCAGTTCTGAGGGGAGTCCATCATTGCAAATCCCGACTGAAAAGTCTGGGGAGCTACTGCTGTTCATCTCGGCCCTGTGACTCGTCTTTTGTATAACCGAATCAACATTGGTTTTCCATCTCAGCCCATGTCGGCCGTCGGCCCTTTCTTCCTTGCAGCAAACATGTCCGTTTAGTGTTGAGGCTCCTGTGACTGCATTCACTATTGCGCCTTGACCGACGGGGGGTCAGAGAGGTTGGATGGTGGCTCGTGGTCTCTACTGGTCGCCACTGGAGGCAGCCGGGCCTTGGAACATGTTACGACTTGGTGAAGGATGTGGCCATGCTCCAACCTCATGCTGAGGCATGTGTTCGCATGTGTTCAACAATGGTCAAGTTGTTCGGTACTGTATACTATTGCCTGAACCTGCACTTTGGATGCCCTGGATTTGCATTGACCAAACTTTTATGGAAAGGGAAGCCTGCCAAAAACAGAAATCTTGTACTGTTCGTAGATCCAACCCTTAACGGTGCAACCCTGGACTCCTAATGTAATTCCAAATATGCCTTTGTTTGTGAAAGGAAGGGGTTGGGACTGAGTCATAGGTAGATAATTATGTATTGAATCATTTTGATACATGTTATGTTGTTCTTGCCAAGTTTGTCATCACCGTGATTCTTGAAGCGATATGCCCCTGTGAGTGTGCTTGTGTTCAGCTGAGAAAGGCTGACTTGCCAGCAGCCGAAGGGAGACTCAGACTGAGGTCCTGGGTCTCGCACTGGACTATGACATTTTCCTGCTGGGGAGTCCCTTAACTCAGAGTGTGGGATGTTTCCGGTGGAAGGCCACAAAAGTGCTGGAGATTGTGAAGTTTTCTGATGGAATCCATTTATATACGATGTGGGAGTTGTAGGATCAAGCAGATCGTCATTGCCTGCAAACGGCATCACTTCTTCATCATTCAAGGTGAGGCATTAGTGTGAGCACTGTCAAAGGGTTACACACCCAGACACCAAGAGACGGACAAGGGCAAGGGCAACGTCGTTCGGTGGTGATGTGGTTGTGGTTGGCCATTGGCAAGTGCCATGGGGTGCGCATTGGCAAGTGCCATGCGTGGAGGTCCCCCTGGCAGATCATGTTTGAACAGTCTTTGGCCATTCTAACCGAGCTCGTGTTGCTATGCTATGAATGGGCAGCCAAGCTCCGAACGGAAAGGTGACACGCGAGCTTTTACAAAGTGATGGAACATGGGGGGCCACATTGTTGGGCATGCCATCCGCTATGCAGTCCCATTGACTGTCTGGAGGTTTGGTGATCCAGGAGTGCTTAGGAAAATTTAAACACATGGTTGAACTCCAGTGGCAGACTGCCCAGGTTTTTAGTGCAACCTGATTGTCGCCTCCATGTCGCCATTTTCCAAAACCCTCCTTTCTCTCTCCGGCGCTTGTTTGGTCGACCTGCCCAAGGAATGTCCGAGCTCCGAGATCGTGGGCTTCCCACCATGGAAGCGGCCGCGGGGCCCGAACCGCTGAGCCGTTCGCCAGCTTGCAGCTGTGTGACGGAGGGTAAATCAGGATGTTCAGCCAATGCGATTTCCACACATGTCTGGGTTCCACACATGTCTGGACCGCGATGGACCCCGTCTTCATTGTTCTCCTTTCAGGGTCCCTTGGCGTTCCCTCGCTCGCGCTTTTTCGCGCTTCCCTTCCCTCCCACCGCTCGGCAGACGCAGCGGAGTTGTCGGGGGGCTGAAGGCTTTTTGGGTTTTGCCACTGCTCAAGCTGAGCGGTTTGGGCAGTGTTTTTGCAGCTGTTTTTGCAGCGGCTTGTCCGTTTTGGTTTTCCTGGGGGGCCTCCTCTGAGCACCCGCTTTGCCGCCTGTTTCACCACCGTACAGGAAGTTCATCTTTTGTACAGTCCTAATCCTTTCAACGGGGCATGATATATATATATATAATTATATATATACATATTTATATCTCAATTGTTCCAGGTTCTTCGCTTGCCAACGGTCAAGACGAGGTAGATCGAGGTAGAGGCCAGCACCGCAGCGGCATGTTGGAAATCCCCAGCCACTTAAAATAACCAGTCTAAAAAATCAAACGCAGCAACCACTGAGGTGCTAGACACTACTGAGGTGATGCATCCGCAGTTAGAGATCCAATTACCTCAATGTTTGGACACCACTGAGGTGGCCGATGGCGTCGCACAGACGGGCCACGTGATCACCTGTGCAGGCCGTTGTGAGTGTGGGTACTGACGTCGTTTCCCTTATTTCTTTCGGCTCACCCAGCTGGTGTTGAAGTGTCATGCGGTCTCTTTTTGTTGAACCAGTTCTTGTGGCAAATTGAAAGTGGTGTCAAAGTCAAAGGCTCTCCAGATCGTCATCCAAAGCATTTCGAAATCCAATCCCCACGACCAAGTTGCAAAATCACCTACCACCTGTGAACCAGGGACCGACCGTGGTGCCGCACCGACCGGGCCTGGCCGGTTCGGACCAGGGCTCATGATGGCCATTGCCTTTGGAGGGATGCTGCTCTCCGATGTGCGCCGTTTCACCCGACCCGACCTGTTCGGTGCCGATGCTGTTTCGTGTGATTAAGCCTGGCGAGTTTCACATCTCACGTTCCAGCCAACTACCCTCTCTCAAAGACTTGTTGGCGGAGCAGAAGCACTTTGGTTGAGGAGAATTGCTTTTCAACCTGTTGCCTGCTGCCAAGAAAAGGCACATATGGAGACTGTTTTCAAAAGAGTACCATGGCTCGCCGTTTGTCGGGGTGATTTCTAACTGTTGTCAAGTACGACCGGCTGAACAGGACTGCCAACGAAGAGAGCCCAGAGTGTAGTGCCCCAGTGCCCGTGGGATGCCATGAGGTACCTGGGATGAGGCAGCTCTCCTTCTTCTTCACCTTGGGTGCCTTCGAACGAAGCAAAGTAAAGCAACAGGCAATACAGGGCCTTTGGCCCGGCCAGGAATTGTTAAAGCAGTGGGACTATAGTTGGGAACAGTAGGACGGGAGTGAGGTGCCTTTCTGAGGCTCAGCTGAATGCATCCAGTGAACCTTCAGGAAGTTTGGCTAAACCCCCACACTAGTCCCCACACCATATTGCAACCCATAGTCAAGAATTTGTTCTTCACCCGTTTCAGCAAGTCGCCAGCTGCCCAACCATTGAAGGCTCCCCACCAGCATTTGGATCCGGTTGTTATTTGTGTTTATGAGTTGCATAAGTCAGTTATGCTTTTTCAAATGCCTCCAAGGTGTGCTTTTGGACCCTTGGCTGCACCTACAAGGAGCCCAGAAAACATGACCCTGAATTCGTACCTCCTGGTATCTCTCGCGTCGCTGCCGGTGAGGATGGGGTTCCAAAGTGAATCTGACACAGGCGTGAAGGTAGGAGGGTCCCAGACCATGCACTGGGGGAGCGACTTCAATGAGCCGTGCGTTCCGAACCAAACACATTTTTCCGAACAATCTATATATGGAGATGTCAGTTCGGTGTGGAAGCAATTAAAGCCCCAGTGTCAGGAAGTTCTTACGCTAGTAGTAACAAGTGCATCGCTACTAGTAACAAGTGCCTTACTAGTAGATGTATATACTGTAAGGTCTTCTTTGGAGCTTACTTGCTGTCATTCAGGCCTTAACATGTGAATCAAAGTGACATGTAATTTTGTATTTGTTTGCAACGGCTTTTGTCGGGTTCTATATAGTCACTAGTCAGGCTTTTAAAGACCGTGACAGCACCGTTACTTTTCATGGGCCAGGTGAGAGGTAACGAAACAAGAGACGGAGACAGGATTGATATGGATTGATAGAAGTTGGCACAGATTTCTTGAGTACATGATGCCAGAGTGGCTTGAGGTGCTCTGGAATTTTGAGTGTGTGTTCTTACGCAATTCCAGCACCACAGACCCTTCAGTTGATCCAACTGAGAACCTTTCTCAGCTTGGCTGCTTAGGCCCAAGTCGAAGCTCAATTAACGACCCCAAATCTTGATAGTTTGGGTGGCTCACGTGAATATGATGGAATGCTTCTTATTCGCTCTGAGTCAGCAAGAAGGAGCAAGGAAGCTACATGCAGAAGAATAATTGGTAAAGAAGCAAGTCAAGTAATTACAGAAATGTCAAAGGAAAACAGAAAATAAAACAAGGACGGAGGACGGGATCGCCCAAGCACCCTCTACGACCCCACCGAAGAAACGCCGCGGATGCAAAGCGTCCTGTTTTTGGACACCTCGCCGCTGAGGACACCTTCGTGGTGCGGACCATTGTGACGCCGGCACTGACCGCGGCACTGGGCGAGGCCAATTGGTGGCCCAGGGAGTGGAAGAACTACGACTGAGCCTTGTTGCTGCGTGGCAGCTCACAGTGCTGAGGGAGTTTGACTCAGCTCGCTGGCATGGGAAGGGTGGATGATGGGTGGTCGATCCCCTTGACTGACCGGATTTGACCGGAGGAGCAACTTCGCAGTGAATAGCGACGAGTTGCCAAATACAACTGGTGGGAGTTCAATCAGGAGTGCCAAACACTGTGCCTACCACATGTTTAGATTCCTCAGATTGCCTCAGCGAGCTGGAAAAGGGACGCCACCCAGAGTGGTCGGGGTAATTTAAGCAAGTAGAGGTTTAGATATGGGGTTGACTTGCATAAAACAGGAGTGGGCCATGTGGGAACCCTCTTGGTAGAGACATGGGTTTCCTGCCAAACCCGCCTGGACCCAGGATGTATCTCGAGGGTAGAGTTAAACAGTTAAGGTATCTCGTATGAATGTTTGCTCGCAGACAATCAGAAAAGAGATGAGAAACTGACAGACAGTCTCAGCAGAAACGAGATGAGAAGAGCAGCTTTCCAACCACCCAACATTTAGTACTGTTTTTATACCTTCATCCTTGACCATGTGGCTGGTGGTTCAGCGAGAACTCGTCAGACCCTCAAGAGGTCTGAGCAGGTGCAGATGAATTCACACGGCGACACAACAAGCACCCCAGCGACGTGCGAGTTTGGAATGAACAGTGAAGAACAGGTGCCAAGCTGGGATCATGACGCAGGGGAGTTGCCACTCAGAGATTTCCTTGGGCGAAGAGCAATTTGGTCAGTGTTTGTTCAATGTCCTTTGCAGCTCAATCATTATTGATGTGTAGGATTGGATGGAAGATGACACAAGGGAAGCTCCACAGGAACGAAATGCGCTTTGGACACGCCCTGACTTTCACCCACTTCCCCCAAATGTCCTTGATTTGGCGATTGTTGACATTCATGCGATGTCATGCGTTTATGGGCTGTTCTAACATGATTTCAAAATCCAGGACCCACCTTGGGAGAGACCCCCATGTGTGGCACGCATGGATCGTCAGCCAAACCTGGTCGCACAAGACCTACCCTCCCGATCGCACGGTGTGCTAGTGGTCGCTTTGGTCACAACCATCACGCCGTGAACGGCAGAGAAAGAGTGGAAGTCCGCGGCAATGGGGCTGGGGAGGCTGGGCTGGGGCCTTTCGTCGCCGGGCTCTGGATGAACTCTGTGCGTTTTTTGATGTTATTTCGACGATACGGATAGAGAGGTGTATGTGGGGACTTCTGAGCAGTAAAACAGAAGAAGATGAGTATACACCAATCCTGGAGCAGAGCAACTTGGAACCTGTCTAGCCATTCTTTGGTCTGTCGTGCCATACATAACTGCGGTTCACAACAAGGAAATATGAAATGAAGAATCATTGAACAATCTTAAAGTATTGTTAAAGTATAAACTGAAAACATGTGTTCAATGTCGTGGTTGAAGGTCAAAGCATTCAACCCACAGTTATATATGTGATTATGTGTGCATGTGTGTTGGTTGGTTCACCACGTTGTTTACCACATGTTTTCTATGCGATTCCTCAAGCCATCGCCATAGATCATAGATCTTGCCTCGCCTTCCGAGGCGTCGGGACGCAGGCGAGTTCCAACGGTTTTTCCGGAGACCGCGACCGGGAAAGCGGATGTGGCGGATGTGTCATATGAAACATGAGCCGAACGACGTACTTGAAACTGTAGGCATTGTGAGGTCACAGGAGGATAGGTACCGCATTCATGGGTTTGATCATGGGCTCAGTTTTGGGAGAAGTGCGTTGCTTTAGGAGGATGGCTTCTGGGTTGAGGCTGAGGTCCCCCATGTTTTTTCTTGGTGGCTGATCGTCAAGCGCAGTGAAAAAGTCGAAGACTGATGGGCCTGTGTTTTTTCAGGAATGGGTAGCTCAGGACGAGGTGTCTTATTTGGCACACCACTGGCTGGAGAGAATCTGCAACTAGCATCTCCCCAAGTTTGTCCCAGTTGTTCTGCGCTACCCTTTCAAACCATCCTCTCCATAGAACAGTTCAAGCCACAGCTTGACCAAGTCCAACAGCAAGTGTGTTGCTTTGGGGATGGAGTCCTTCCTTTTGGCCAATTTCCCTATTTGTCCATATTGGCAAACAATGACAACGATCGGCAAATGTTAGGGGGGCGTTATTTAAACCACCAAGCAGTCTTCGATTCACCGCGGACTTCACTGCATAGCTAGCCTCTCCAGTTCAAAAGGCGGCGATTGTTGACCATTGTGGTTGTGGATCACCTCCAACCAGTGTCATGTGTGTGTGTGTGTCATGGCGTTTGCTTGGCATGGGCGGTTGGCATGTCGGGTTTTTTAGTGGTTCCGAATGGCAACAGCTGCTGTTTGTTTCCAGCTTAGACCCCAGCAACAGTGTCCTTCGACCCCTTGCGCCTTCGACCCTGCGCAGGTGACAAAGGTGGAAAAAGCATTCAGCCGAGTCCTCAAGAACATGATTGCAATCCATAAAGCCTCCTGCAACATGATGTCAACCCAAGAAAAGCTAGGTCCCAAGGAGGCCCAGTGTTTAGATTTGAGGTGGGAAGGATTTGGTGTTTGTCATCCCTGCACTAGAATGTGTGAAAAGGTCAAGGTTGAAGGTTGAGAGGAGGCAGAGGACCCATTGATGCTAAAGCAATCAACCATTGAGCTGGTCTCATCAGCTTCCTATGGGATTATATAGTTAAGCAATGTTAGGCAAGAACTCAATGCCACCAAGAAAGTTGTTAAGTGCTTTCCCTTTGCCCCCACCGCCCGATTGTGGGCCATCACGCCCTTTTGTGAGTTCATTCCTCCAAGCTCGAGGCTCGATGGTACCAAGCTGCCAGCAATCCACTCGGCCGCTTGGAGCAGTCGCCGGTCACGCCGGTCACGTTTGGTCAGCTGGGAAGGCTCAGGCTCCCTACAAGGCTTGAGAAGGGCTCCAAGGCTGAGTGAGGCGGAGGAGATGTTCAAGCTTAGAAGACCGGATGCATGTGTGTGTTTGTGTTGTGGCTTTAGAGACGGCAGGGGAACATTGATTATTGGCGGACTAATTATGTGTTTTTTATTGCTTTATTTATAACGTACTGGGTGTAATTACATCACATGGGGAGCGCGCATTTGGACCCAGACCCTCCCTCATCTTCTAGCTGAAAGCGACCAGGACCGTCCAAGTGATGTTCCGGCTCCTCAAGAATCTCGCCCATAAGAAGTGACAAGCAAACCGCTAAGACGCTAAGACGAGCCACGGCAACCATCAGAGCTCTCATGTGTTTTCTTTATGGTCAACCTATGGTTTGAAGATAGAACATGATAGAACCACCTTGGATCCAGAATTTTTTTGAGGACCATAATATGTCCTTTTTGTGGGCTGTGGACACTTAAAATAAAGATAGTAATGGACATAACGTAAATCAATGAATATGTTGGTTAATCCTTCTATTATTCTTTCGTGTGGTATCTTTGCACCTCAGCTGCTTCGGCCCATCCCCACCGGTTTTACCCTGCGACGATTGCGTTCAGCAGTCTTTCATTCCAGGGACGGCCATTGCCACGAAAATCTCACACGAGTCGCCGTCAACGTTCAGTTCCGTTTGACGACACCTCAAGTCGCAAATCCATCATGGTGAATATCTTGGAGGTGTGCGAAACGGTCTAGCTTCGCCTGCATTCGGCCTGTTCTTCGTTCGTTCAGGCGCGCCGCGAGCGTGAGCCGCCGAAGGTGGTCCGGGGGCCCAGTGGTCATGGTTTAGTAGCTTTGGTGGAGTTGGGTGATGGGACTTTGGGTAGGATAGGAGCTGGTTGAATCTAGGTCAATTTGGGTTTGGAGGGCTTCTGCTTGCAGGTGAGGATTTGGGCATCATGGGCTCTACTATTTGCGGGTGGGCATGGACCTGTACACTTGTACAATCTTGTACAATGATTAAAGTTCCTGGAGCAGATGGAGACGGTGTAGGGCCAAGAAACCAGTTGGACACTGACAACTGGATTTGGTGGGTGTCCTGTATTCTAGCTGATTCTAGCTGACTTGAAGTTCTTACACGGCATTAGATGACCTATGACACCCAACCAGACATAGAGCAGTAACATAGCAAGCATGAGACTTGGATGCGATATCAAAACATCACACCAACGATACGGATGCTTCCGAACGCATGAGGCTTGGGGGCCCCTAGAAGCCCTCACCTAGGCCACACCACCCTTGAGCCGGCCGGGAACCAGCGATCAGTGATGCAGGCCCGTAGATTGGGTGAAAAGCACAATCATGAAAGCACCAGGACATTTGAAGGATCGCTTTTTCTATTCGAAGAGGATCTGCAATGTGTATGAAATTGCATTCTACTCCTGCAGGCTGCTTGACATAATACCCTTGTCCACTGATGCGGGTGTCAGGATGAGGGCATGAGAGAAACAAAGCCACATTGCTCGGTGGTTTGGCACCTTGAAAGGAGCTTGACTCATGACTACTGTATTTATGGTGATACTGGTGACCAGGAAGACAGGAAAGGAACCGATTCAGTTGATAGACAAGCTCCGGCACCGCGTAACATACACATTTCCTGTGAGACTTCAACGTTCAGTCAAGATATGGTCAGAAGATCATCACCATGACGAGACAAATATTTTCTTTGGCTGATGACTGATGACCAGAGCCACTCTGCAGCTTTCTAGAGAAGACATTGTCAATTGTCAGATTTTGTTTTTCAAGGCATGAAACATAAAGCATGCCGACCTTGAATTGATACTACTGGAGACATGCTCAACCGACACCCATACTTTCAGGTTTGCCTAATTTGAAGGTCCTCACACACAGGAAATCCCACAATTGGTTTAAAGCTGTTCCCCCTATTCCTGATATTTAAAGCCAATGTGTCAATCCCTTCCGACGACGTTGTGCCCTCGTGCAGGCGATGCACCACCCACTGCAACATGATTGCCGGCCAAATTAGATGCTTTTTCAATGGGAGGAGTGTTGAAACCGCGGTCAATTTTTCATG